ACCTTTAATGGGGATATAGCTGATGATGCCATGAGTTGAGCTCAGATATTTTCCCCCAAAACACAGGGAGGAAAGAAAGGAGGAAATTATTCCACCTAAAACAAGTATTTTGATGCCAAATATCAGTAATTTAAACTTCTGGACTCTGAGATATTGCCGATAGTGCACCTCTGCTTTAAAGTAAATTATTTAAAAATAGTTCCCCAAATATGCATATTATTACATTGTGAGAGAAAGCTTCTGCAGGTAGGTTCTTTGTGCAAGCAAACCAGAGTCTATGGATGCCATTATACACATAAACCCCCCCCAAACGGTTTCCTCAAGATACTCTAGTTAAACAAACAACAAATAAACAATTACAGATGGTCATAAATTCACACTGTCATTAAAATACCTTGAGACTTCGTGTAAAAAGTGTGAAACCATGTTTAAAAAAAAGATTTGGCCATCCTGTGAGCTTTCAGTTATTATTCGACATATAAATATATATACAATTATTTTTATTTAACACATGAACTACAGGCCCTGATTCTCACCAAATATCACTTAATTGACTATAAGCTGAGAATAACTAACCTAAAGAATACCTACTGTATGTTATTTGTCTTTTGTATATGCTTCTTATGTATTTGTTGTAGCTCTTTTCTTCCCCATCCCTAATTTTAATAAAACTATCGCTTAATGCAATGTGTCAACCAAGCCTCTCAGTATTCATATTAGATAGTGCCATGTTCACGATGTTGATCACAGAGCTCAATTAGTGATTTAAGGCAGCCACTGTCACTCAACCCTACCTACCTCATATTTTGCTATGGGCAAAATCTGATCCACATATAGTTCGCTGAGCATTTATCGAAAACTCTGAATAAAAATAGAATAAATTTAAAAATGTATAAAGGGCAGGAGAAAAGAAATGCAGCTGCTTAAGATAGAAGGTACACCTGTGATTGAAATTAATTCAGTTGTATAGCTTCTCCTTTAAAAAAAATTGTACCTCTGGGTTCCAGGAAGTCTTGATGTTATAAGGAAGGCATGACTGAACTATCCAAAAGGCACCTGCTTGCCACAAAAGAAGTCAGATGTTTTTTTCTGTTTCAGTAAGTTTTTTATCTTTATTGACGTTAGCCTGTAATTAGCTCAATAGTCTCCTGCAAGGTTGTCAAACTCGCATCGTCACACCATCATCACATGATGTATCACAACTTTCCCCCTTTGCTAAACTGGGGGTAGGCGTGGCCAGCGTGTGATGCATCCAGCCCATGGGCTGTGAGTTTGACACCCCTGGTGTACTGCCTTCAGTGAGGCTTTCCTTTCATTCCTCAAACCAATAGACCCCTAGACCATAATCTCAGGCCACAAAGTTCCCATTTCTTTTCATGCATTGCCTTTGCCCAGGAAAATCCATGGTGCTATACATATAAGATAAAATAACTTTTTTGTCATTTTTTTTACTGTGAGCACATTGGCCCACATTAAAAATGAAATTCTGTTGCCTGCTCTCAAGTAAAAGTGTGTATCTACCCAAACACATATATACACATGCTATATACATACATAAATACCTGCACTGTACATACATACACACACACACACACATCACTGTCCATTTTGAATATGTAGTAGAAAGGGGAAGCTTGAGAGTTCACAAGGTTGATGCCATAAGGAACAAAACTGTGACTGAATCTAGATGTTCTGTTTTGGATACCACAAAGTCTCCTCCCAGAAGGTAATAAGGAAAACAGGTTGTGAAGAGGATGTGTAGCATCCCAGACAATCCTGAGGACCCTGCTCAAGCATCACTCATGTTCTGGATAGAAGGAAGTGAACTACCAATGATCTTTTCTGCTATCCTCACCACTTTCTGCACCACTTTCCTGTCCAAAGCAATAATGCTTCCAAACCAGACAGTAATGCAATATGACAGGATGCTCTCAATTGTCCCTCTATAGAAAGTGATAAGGACAGGGGAAGAAAGGTGAATTTTTCTCATGTGATGCAGAAAATGCAGGTGCTGCTGTGCCCACTTTGCCAGTGTCTCACTGTTGAGTGACCAAGCTAGCCTACTTGTTAGTTGCGCACCCAGAAACTTGATGCTGCTAACCACCTCCACAGGTGACTCATTAATATGTAGAGGTGTGTGGCTGTGCCTGCCTTTTCTGAGATTGACAACAATCTCTTTCATTTTTCTTACGTTTAAAATGAGGCTGTTTTTGTTACACCAGTTCACTAAACTCTCTACCTCCTTGTGGTAAGCATCCTCATTGATATCTTGAATAAGGCCCAGTACTGTTGTATGCAGAAAAAGCTTAGTACCTTATGTAAAATGATATAATCTTTCTCTCCTTTGTGGTTTTCTCATTTGAAATGTCCACATATGTAAGTTCAGAGAATGCAGGAAAAAATACAGTAGTTTTTCCTTTCTTCTATATTTTAAAATGTATTTTGTCATTTAGATTTTACAAGTTGCATCTACAAATCCTGTCTTTCCACCAATATAATTGAAAATGCCCAATATATGAATGGTGCCAGTAATTTAATTTCAACATCAAGACAAGGAAATTTGAACAATCTTTGGATTATGTTTAAAGAGTATTGGTAAATCATTGCACTGTGTATTGATTACATTCTTCCTTGATATCCATTGAGAGAACAAATATTAAATATTTAAATAGAAAATCATGTTACCAGCTTGGATAAAACAGGAAACTGTATTTAACTGAAGACTTCCTTGTTTTTTGTTTGCTCAAGAAAAGAGAGAAGTAAAAGTGTATAAGTGAAAGGTTCATTCATGGCTTGGTATATAACAGTATGAGCTTTCCCAGTGTGGTACATTTTATAATATCCTTGAAGTTATTATTTCATATCAAAAACAAAAGGTCTTGAAATCAACATTTCATTGTATAAATAATCTCACAAAATGACGCTGACAAAAGAAATTTAAGATATTTCTGTGATATGTGAAATTCTGAATGCAATGATGAAAAAGATACAAGGCTTAAATGTAGAATTTTAATGCCTCAAATCATATAGAATGAAATACTATATACTATAAGTTTCATATGCAAAATATTACATTATACATTCACAATTGTAAGAGGTAAAAGTTTCTGAATAATATTATACTGTATTTCTCTTCCACCAATTACTTCTATTTATTAGTAAAAATGATATTGTACTACTTTGTAACTTTCAAATAACTTCGAAGCCAGCATAGCAGGTAAAGAAAAATTGATGTAATTAATAATGTTAAAAAACACAGTTTCAAAACATGTTATTAATAGTTGTTTTCAGTAAAAAAATGCTATAAGGATTATGATTCAATACTGATAAATGGAAGATTTTGATTTTAAGAAACTAAGGCACAATTCATCCCTTAAAAACAAAATGTAGCCTATTTATGGCTCTCCATTAGAAATTTAGATGGAAATCTGTGCAATTTTCATCTCTGTTTAGAAAGACATCGTTACAGTGCTTATGTGGAAATAAATCAACTTGGAATCAGTGAGGGGTATTTGAACAAACATACAAAATTGAGATGAATTTTGTCTACTTTCCCATCTTCACTGCCTCTTCCCTTCATATCTTAGGCTATATTGCAGATAAAAGAGGGAATTCAAAAAGGCAACAGCTGAAATCAAACAGTAACTACCCAGAACCTCCATTGTTTGGAGGCACCAGTTCAGATTTCAGTACCAAGAATAGACCAATGCAGCAAGAAAGTATCCAGCAAGTTCCAAAATTGAATGACAGTAAGTGGTAGGACAATAAATACTCACTATGATTCTTTTTTTAAAAAAACTACATTAATTATGAATTAGGATAGTGTCTGTGTCTTTCCAATTCCACTCTACCTCATTTTTACAGTTATTTAAGCATGTTTGTTCAAAGCTCTTCTTATTCAGAAAAGTTGAAGCTGTCAGTGAAAAAATGACTTTAATGCCTCAAAGTTACCTATTATAGTGGAGACATAAAAGTTCAGATGTAAACCTGAAGTGCTCTAACAATCTAAATATCAAAACAAAGAAACTTTGTGAGACTTTAAAGACCAGCTTTTGACAAAATATAAAGTTTTGCTATAATAGATCTGAAGCTGTCACAAGGCTCTCTTTTCATTGCTACAAAATAGTATGGATCCTTCTCAGTTAGCAAACAGCAACTGCAATTAATCAATACTATATTGATTCTAGTATTTCATCAATTACTGAATTATTATATCTGTATCCTATTCTTTTTCCAAGCAGCTGAAAGTAACATTTTAGCTTGGAAGAACCTATAAAGTGCAAAATAAAAATAGTATGTATCTAAGGAGATTTAAATGGCTACCTAGGGGTCGTCTAAATTAATTTTTACAATTAATTATATTAATATTCATAATTAATTAATATGCTGCCCCTCCATAACAACATAATATAAAGATTAAAAGGTAATACAAAACATTTGAAAATTAAGAAAAAATAAAGATTAAAAAAAGGAGGAATGGGTGAGATGGGTGAGGGGATTTCTCTTTAACCCATGAGTCACTCCTGACATTGAGCACCATGGGAGGATTTTGTGTGTGTAATTTTGATTTTATTTTGCCTGCACTGAGCAGTTTACAAAACCTGGCCTCACACCATCAAAAGTTTTCTCCGGCTACTTTCACACCAGGAAAACATTCAAACGATTAATCTAACTATCCGCCATCACATCCCCTAGCCTGCAAAAAAGGGAAAGGATCAAGAAGTAAACAAAGCATTTGTCAATACTCTAGAACCCCTGTATCTTATAAGCAAGCTTCTGTGGTTTTCTGTCCAACTGCCCAGAAAGAAAATAGTTTCTTTGGCCCCAGGGACAGAAACTAAAGTGAGTGCGGAGGAACTGTTAGTATAGGAACAGACTTCCTGAGGCCTCTGCGCCTTGATCTCTGCCCTTTTTCTGGACAATCATGTCGAGCAAACGGCACGGGGCCGCCTTGCTGACCTCGATCCGAGAGAGCCCGACCGCGCGATTCGAGCGCTTACCGGCCATGGTGGGACCTTCTCCCGCTGAGGCTGGCGTCTGCGAAGCTGCTTCTCGTTCAGGCGGCAGCCTCCGTCTTGCCTATTCCGCGTCTGAGTGCTGCTTGTCTGGGTAGTTAGGATCTTCCTCTCTGTGCGCTTACTCGTTACAGTCAGGGAATTTCCCGAGACTTAGGCAAATCACTTCCCCGTCGATGTCTGTCAGTGAAAGAAGTACCTATAATTTTCTTTGCTTAAATATCAAAGGAGGGACCGCCTCCCGCCTCTTCGATTTTCAAGCTACCTGTGACTTTAACATGCAAAAGCTTCACATGAGGAGGCTGAGCTGTATCTATGGGTGAGGTTTCGCCAATTGCCAGATCGCGGCCAGAGCGCCCCTCCTTTTCGTGGGTGAGGGGGAATGCCTCACTGCAATTCACACTCAAACCCACTGAGCTGTGGTCAGTGACCCTCTCTTTGCTCACTTCTCACCTGTTGAGCCTCCCCCTCAAAAGAAGAAGGGGTTTGACTTGGTCGGCCCTATACAAGAGAATGGGTCAGATCTGGTTGGAATTTGGATGGGAGACTACCAGGAGACCCCAGGGCTATATACTAGGCAGAGAAGTTGGGGGGGGGGGGGAATATTCCCACAAAAAGGGAATGAAAAAGTCTTTCCTTCCTGTTGCCAGGATAAGTGCAAGGAATATATCTCAAGTCACGAGGAGATTAAGTTGACTAAAAAGAAAGTTTTCGTGGGTACTTACATGTATGTAAGTACATGTCAGCTTTGTTCGGGTATTTTCCCATGTCATTATAGTTGTGCTTTTAAAGTTGTAGCAACGTTTCGGCAGAATCTCGTCTGCCATCATCAGGCTTCTGTATTGTGTTCGTCTGTGAGTCAGATTAAAACGGCTGTAAAAGTCTGACTCATAGACGAACACAATACATAAGCCTGATGATGGCAGATGAGATTCTGCCAAAACGTTGCTACAACTTTAAAAGCACAACTATAATGACGTGGGAAAATACCCGAACAAAGCTGAATACCATATATATATACCTGCGAAAACTTAAGAAAACATATATATATATGTACCCAAAAGGACAGAATAACAAAGTTTGAGGGGACCTTGGAGGTCTTCTAATCCAACCCCATGCTCAAGCAGGAGATCCTATACCATTTCAAACAAATGTTTCTCCAGTCTTTTTTTTTTAAAAAAAACCCTCAAGTGATAACTTATGAAGGCAAGCCATTCACACTGTCAGGAAATTTCTCCTTAGTTCTAAATAGTGTTTTTCAAACTTGGCAACTTTAAGATATATGGACTTCAACTCCCAGAATTCCCTAATCAGCATATTGCCCATTCTCTCTGGAATGATCTTTCCTCTTTCTTCAGTATACAACATGCCACAACTCTTTTTGACTTTAGGAAAGACCTCGTCTCATCTCGTGTTAGAAATGCACGAAGTAGAAAAGGACAAATTATTGATTTAATATTTTAAAATTTTAAAAGCTTTGATAAAATACAGATTTATATAGACCTTACTGCCTGGCTCTTACTCCGGGTAATAGGGGTCAGCTAAGTGGGAGTCCCTTCTCTGAGTTGGTTGCCATTTTGCATTTTACTTTTGTAAGAGCCATGGTGACACAGTGATTAGAATGCAGTATTGCAGGCTAATTCTGCTAACTGTCAGCAGTTTGATCCTGACTGGCTCAAGGTTGACTCAGCCTTCCAGTCTTCCAAGGTTGGTAAAATGAAGACCCAGGTTGTTGAGAGAAATATGCTGACTCTGTAAACTACTTAGAAAGAGCTGTGAAGCACTATAAGGTGTATAAGTACTATTGCTATTGCTGCTCATATCTTGTTTATTGTTATTGTTGTTAGTGGGTGTTTATGTTGTATACCACCCAGAATCACAATGACTGAGCTGGGTGGCCTTATCAACCTTGAAATATTGTAAAATAAAAATAAATAATTAAATAAAATAACTTGTTAATACTCCTCAGTGTTCCATGTATTTGTTTATATTTCTCCTTGAATTTATAAAAGACAACCAGAAAAACAGACCCCTGAAAGGCTGCTGGTGATTGTAAGAAAGAGATAGTGGTGAAGGAAGATTGTTGGTGAAAAAGATTAATAAGTGCATACTGCCTGGAAGCAACACTTTATAGATATTGTGCTACAGTTTTTAAACAGCATGGATAAGCCCTGTGGCAATTAAAATAGGATAGTAAAACATCACCAAACTTGCAATTTCAAAGCTCTTCTAAGAGGTTGCAGATTGGATACATCACATTAATCTACTTAAAAGATGCCATTCTGAGCAGAATAGGATTATGGGAAGGAGAAATGAAGGAAGATAATTTAAAAATTATGCATATGCAAATTTTAGAATGTTGAAAGCTGTATGAATGTAACAACATCTATGGAGTGAGTAAAAGATGACTGCATGTTGATTTTCAGGGCCTGGTTTCAGCAGATAGAAATGAAAGCTAGGCACAAAAACAGGGCAATAAGGCATGATGGTGAGGAGTATGATGAAAAGCCCTGGGTGCTCTGTTAACAGGGCAGAGATTTCTAAGAGAAATATCAGTAATGTGAGTTTCAAAAAAAAATCCCTCTTTTTTAACATTTGGAAAATGCTTGGGAGCTGGGGGGGTGGGGGGAGCAAGATGTGGAAATTGCCAGTAGTTGGAAAATTCTACAGGCAGACTAAAAAATGTTTTGAATGTCTCATTGAATTGAATCCAGATTGTATTCACTCATAGAGCAGACTCATAGAAATCAATGAGTCTTAGGTTAGTCCTAAGTTTAATGTTTTGTCAGGTCTACTGTCACATCTTGAGATGGTACTCAATGAAAAGACATTATTGCACCTCAGTTTTCAGATCTCTCCAACCAAAAGAGTTTAATGGTACGAAAAGAAACAATTATTTGCAAAAGACAATAGATTAAGTTGCTACCAAAGAGTGCAGAAACTGGACAGAACTGGTAATCTCTAGCTACCAAAGAGTGCAGAAACTGGACAGAGCTGGTAATCTCTAGCTTTAAATTTATCTCAAAACTTCAATCCTTTCAGGTATCAGATTAACCTTAAAAAAGGTTAAGTATGACATAAAGTGTATAGAAGGCTCACTGTATTCAAATATCTGTGTTCAAATATCCTTTGTATGACGTTAACAAGAGAAACCACAGACTGCTTAAGCTACAGACTGCTTTTTAAGAGAAAGAATCAGAAGTGCAACTTTCATTTTCAATCTATTTCAAATATTACAGCATTGCTACAGATTCATTACTATGAATTCAATATATAGTATGTAGATTTTTTTAAAGGAATAGGCACATTTAAAAATGCATGGAATGATTTAACATTAATACAGGTTGGACTCTTCTCAAACTGATAGTCCATCTGATTTCTTATTATAAAAGGTAAAAGTTTACAATATTACAGAAGATTCTGGAATCCCTTGCTATGTTTGAAAGGTATCAGAGGCCCTCAAACTTATTTCATTTTTATGTTGTTTTTCATCACTGAACTATGGAAGAGAAGCCAAATTCAACTGCACTAGGAGTGAAGTGCCATTTCTCCTTAGGATGACACACAATTCAGTCTAGGCTTTGGTGTTGGAAATCAAGCATAATATAGCTTCAATCTCTGCAACATGTATTCCACCATAGTTCATACAAGCACAGATTCAAACACAATTCCTGAAGTATAACAACCTAGATGCAATGATGGAAACTTGTTGCCTCCTGGTTAATCAAGTCTTGGCTAGGAGATAGGATTAGGATAAAACCATATCTTTTGTGGGATTTCTTTACTCAGGATGTCTGTTTGCAGAATGGGTTGCTTGCCCTTTGAGGTTATGAGGCAAAATCGATCATTGGCTATGTGATCTTCATGGCCTTTAAACCTTGTGGGGTGAATTCCTGCTTAAGATATAGTAGTAAGAGGAAGTGATTAATTTGAATTACTAGTCCCATCTGTTAGCACTATCGTATCTCTTCTTTGTACCCAAAAGGACACCCATCATATGCTGTTTGAGGTTTTTTGCTACTACAGCTGTGGCTTCTCTTTCATAATCAGATCTACCTATACTGTACATATGACTAAAGTGTTTGATGCATCTGTCCTGCTAAGGAATGAATATTAAGTGTATATACAGTACTTCTGATTTGGTTGGGCACAAATTTTTGGAGAGTGCTGAGGCATAGCATAACAATTGCTAACATGATGTATTTATTTTGAACACAAAGTGTACACAGAAAGAATTATTTTCTTTCTGATGCCAGGAAACCTGGTCAACTGGGCAATGGAAGGCTAAATTCTGGTCCATACACTGGCTGGTCTGTCAATGGTGAGACCCAAATAGTTTCTTTATACAGAGATATGCAGTCTTGTTATTCATTACAATGGTGAGAAAAGAAAGACAAAGGGTGTTAAACAAGGATGTTCTCCAAACTGTACTTTGCTAGAACTACAAAATAAGAGACAGAGACTCAGAAGAGAAAAGGCTATTTATCACAGATTGTTATTAACCCAAAATGGCTAAGTTCAGATCTTTCAGCCCAGAGCCGCATCTGTTCTGCAATGTGATTATGAAGATGAAAAGAAAAGGACAGGATTTTACAATTCATGGGATCAGTTAGCTGAAAAATGGCCATTTTAGACTATTAGTCTGATTTCTGAATGCAGGAGCTCTGTATTAGAAGTTCTCTAAAACATAATACCCAGCTTCTTTAACTCTTTGAAAGAAGGGTAGAATATGAATTCCTACTTTAATCAACAATCTGATCTCCTGAAATCTTAACAAAACATTGCCTTTTTCATACAAGTTGTCTGGAGATGTGTGAGAGAAAGAATTATGTAATATAAATACACATACAGGTTTTTTTTTAAAAAAAGAGTATAATGGAAACCCTGTTTCTGAAGAAGCTGGCTGAAATAAAGAACAGAAGTTGCATATTATATTGGTGCGTGAAAAACAATATAATAGGCCACTTCCCATTAAGTCACTATCACTTTGTTTCACTTGATTGATCAAGTCTATATTTCCAACCTGGGGGGAAAATATAGGTACCAATCAAACCTGAGGAGGAAATATAGGTACCAATCAAAATCAGTGCAAGTAAATCTTAGTAAATTATCAGTAATTCTCCTATTACATGTGATCTTTTAAATGAGAGATGATAAAAATGGAATTCATCATTTCTGCATGCATAACATGTGATCTGTCTTT